CTAGGGATAGTGCTGTGGCAGGTTGTTCAACCTTGGGATGGGAAAGAAGGGCAGTTCTATGCTAACTCCTCTCTAGCTGAGTAAGAAGTTTAACAATGGACTTCAAAGCATCTCTTACCTTCCCCACACTCCTTTGAAAGAATTGCTACAGAGAGGCAGGAATGAGAGCATGAAGTGGAAGGAGATGGATTTGATGCCATACTGGAAAAGTGCTGTGATGTGGCAGTGCTCTCCAGGCAGTTCTGTTCCCAGGGAGCTGCTCTTCCCAGCTGCTTTACATGGCCAGGGCAGTGCTGCAGGCTGCTGGGTAATGCAACTGGTAACTAACCTGGGCTGCAGGGCTGCAGTTATATGTTAAATTTAAGAGAGTGGTTGTAATTCAGAATTGCTCTGAAGACAATAATCCATGAGTGTGAGGTAGGGACTGTTATCTGTTTGTGTGTAAATGTAGTTATTGACTGTTTTACATTCCTGGTCACTAAATGCTGCAGTCTCATACCTGGACAAGGAGTGCCCCTGAGGTTTTGTTTGGCCAGCAGTGTGGCAGTGCTGTTTCATACTGCTACATATGCTCAGATAAAGGAGAAGTGGGTTTTAGGACAAAGAATAATTATGGCTGTGGAAGTGAGAGATTCTGGCTTGCAGGAAAGACAATTCTTGGATGACAAACGGATGTGGTCTGTAGTTTGATTTAAATCTTACTGTGTCCTCCTTTCTTTACTAGGCCATGGGCTAACTAAAAATAATGATATCATTAGAAGACCTGGAGCATGCTAAGGTGGTTAAACTGACCTTTTAGACAGGAAACCAGCAAAAGTCCTGATGACTGTGAAAGGTCCCTAAAATGTGAAAAGGAAAGGTGTATCCAATAGACAAAGAAGTACAGAGCGTGGATTTAAGTAAGAAATATGAAAAGCAAACCAGCAAACAGCTGACTTAGGGGATTGGAGTTCTCTATAAAGTTGTTGAAGTTAAAAGAGAATAAAATTAAGCTAAGAAACAAAGGAGATTATAGAAGACATTGAACAAAGCATTTTTAAACAATAAAGTTCCAAAAATAAAAGCATAGAAAAAGGAGATCAAAGAGACACCATTTAGTCAGAGACAAATAAAAATATGAATTGGAAAAAAAACCAAAAAAACAAAACAACCTAAAGAATTAAGAGTCCTTTTGCTTTCGCACAAGCAAAAGGGGATTTGTTCAAATGAAAAGTAATATCACCTGTCCTTAAAGTGCCCTTGCAAAGAGATGGATGAGGATGGCCACGGGGCTGGAGGGCAAAATGTTAATGACCATTGATGCTATAGTGACTGTGGTTAAATGCATGAGTTAGGGAAAATTCCTACAGCCACCTGGACAAGATTTAAAGAAATTAGTATGGGAAGATTGGAAGTCAGTCTAGGGAAACTATGAAAAGAGAGAAAGTACAAGAAACTTTTCTGTGCAGTTTAAAATGGGCAGATTTTGAAGAAGTTCACCAAAAGCAAAAGACTAAAGCAACTTAACAGATAAATACAGTAAGCAAAATATTTTAAAGCAGATTATTAAACAACCTACAAGCAAAAGTAGGTTTGTGAATTCCAAAAGTAGGAAGGAAGGTTGTTGGTTATTTTGAATACAGCAGGTAAAAAACAGGAGCTGTGTAAGAATCTGAAGGACAATTTCATCAGAAATTAACCAGTATTTATGCTTTGCTGGGCTTGTGGTTTGTTTTGTGCCTAAGTAGAAGCAGCAGAAAATAAATATTAGTTTTAAATGTAATATACAGTACTACATACAGCTGAAAACTCACAGTAGTTTTGGCAATAAAATTTTATTTTAAAATGTAAATAGCATTGTGGGCACTAACACATCAGTTGGCAGTTTAAGGGATGTGGCCACTAGTGCATTGGTTCAGCTAACTTTAATTAAAAGGTTTAATTTAAATACCTTTTTGCAAAACATATTACATTAGCATATCTAAAAGCTGTGACGGGATTGAAGGGTTGTCTAGTTAAAAGACGAGACTGAAAAAGTCAGCCAAATGGACAGGGCATATTTTCTAAGGTTATTATACAAATAGAGGAGAACAGGTTTTTAAATGTCCATTCGAAAGAAGAAAGAAATATATTATAGAAAGACTGAATTGTTTTGGGGGAAAAGGAGATAAGGGGGCAATAGCACAAATATTTCAGGAACATGGTCCCTATGGCTTGAAGAGTTTCCCAGTTTTCCTGTGGTTTCTCTTCCCTCACAGACTGTCATTGTACCTTTTATATATTTAGCAAAGATTTTATTGATAAATTAATGAAGTACCCACCATTCTTCCATTCCTGAGAGCTCTCTTCAGTGGAGCCTGCTCTCCAGTAATGGTCACAGGGCAGGGGAGGTGCTCAGCTTCTTCACATTCCTGACTGTGAGTATGAATAAAAAAGCAGGGACTCTGCTCTGACTTGGCACCATCACACCCAGGCTCCCAGTGTTCAATTAGATGAAATCTGGTGCCTTTCTCTAAGTCCATGTGGATGGCATTGGGTCACCTCATCTTGCACAGCAACTCTTGGCTGTGATGTGGCTACTGAAATGCTCCTGGGCATTGCACACATGTTGCACACACGGTGAGAAGGCCTGGAGCACATTGTTCAAGATGGACTTCTGTATAGTGGTGTTCTGCAAAACAAGGAAAAGTGTACCTACAGTGGGCAAAAGCTGGAAACACCAGAGGAACTTCCACTAAAATAAGTTTGGTCATCACTTTTCACTTGCTTCTGAATGATTCAATTCCCACTCTGTGACTGGGTGGGTACATATCTGCACACCTGGGGGAGTAAAGAACCTGGTAAATGAATACAAGCCTGCAGAAAATCCAGGGTGCAGGGGGTCAGTTATTCATCCTGACACTGAAGAGACTTCTCTGATGTATAAGCTGTAGTTAGCACGAGAAATATATGGATCTAAGGGACCAATCATTGAAAAATGTAAATATGGAAAAAAGGTCTGGGTTCTGTTTTAAGAAAAAAATCGAGCTATAAAAATCATTTGTAAAATAGATGAAAGGAATGGTGTGGATGACAAACAATAGAGAGCTGGCTGACGGAGCTCTATAGAAAGATCATTTCACTGTTTTGATGTACCCCCTTGCTCTGTTAGTGGGTGTCTGATCTGTGATTTGTTGTGTAATGTGCAGTGGTGTGTGACCAACTAGAAGCAATAAACCACAAAGGTAAATTAAAAGGTAAATTAACAGTCTTAACTATTGGAACATAATGGATGAAATTACATTTCATTTCTCTTTCATACCAAATGGCTTCCTTTGCCCAATCTACTGCTCCTAGAGCACCTCCAGTTTCCTTCTTGCCTATGCAATTCCTCGGAGACACATATGTCCACAAGATGGTACTAGGCTACCAGTAGCCCCTACAATGGCTGGTCAGTGAAGGCTCTTGAAATTGCTGCTGCTCAGGTGTCACCAGAGAAGCTCACTCAAAAAAAATCTCATTAGTGTTGTTTCCTATGAGAGGCATTCAGACCAAAACACCTGCTTGGTTGGGTGTTTTTTAAAATGAAACAAAATTCCAGTAGGAATCAGAGCAGATCATTGCTGTGACTGATGCTCTGCACACTCACACCTGTTTTGTACCAGATAGCTTCATTATTGCCTTTGGAGCCACTTCCAATTTAAACTAATAAACTAACTTACAAAAGAGAAGAATGAGGCCATGAAATACAGTAGCTTTATGAATCTGTGTTTTGACACATTTAAAAAAGAGAAATTTGACCTAATGTATTATAAATACCTCATTTGCTTTAAGCAATTATTGTAATCTATCACATTGATGCAACCAACACAAACATGCACTACATTTCTCACGCTAAAAATTGTTCAAACAGGCTTGAATAAATTGTTAATACTCTATAAGCTGCTAGTGGAATAGCTCAATGATTAGCTCTTCTCTTCACAGGATTCAAACGCATTAGTGACACTGCTGACTAATGACTTGCAAAATTTTTGTTAAAGACACAGGTGCATTTTCAAGTTGCAGCCCAGGTCTTAAGTCAACGGCATTTCAGGGTTTGAAACTGAAAAGCTTTGTTACATTGGTTTATGTAAAACTAGTGCTCGATCTTAATTTTTTTAAAATGGCACTCCACATATAATCATGTTAATTCTGTTGTGATGTTAGATTCAAGTTACTCTTGAAAAATATCTTCTCATAATACGATTATTGGAATGCTGTTAATCCCGACTGTATGAATAAGGCTGCGGTGTTAATTAAAGTCTGTGAACCGCTTTCTCATCAGCACCGTGCAAATGGAGTGATAAAGCAAGCCCCTGATAGCTTGGGAACCATTTGTCATTACTGATCAGACCGCATGTGCTTAGGCAGTAGAAAGGGTAAGCAGTCCCTACGCAGAGAGGTACCCACCTTTAGTGTACTTGGTACTTGTTTCACTAATTTTAATACAATTAAGTGGAGATGACCACATCAGTATGGCCATAATGAAATCCCGCAGTGGGAGATCTGAAGTAATGAGGAGAGCACACAATTTGTGACTCGAGGCCATTTAAAGGGGTCCGCGTGTTTAATTGGCTTAATAAAATTCAGATCATGAATGAGGCTGTCATTGTAACAGGGCCCACCGAGGGCGGCTCAGGACCTGAGAGCCTGACCCAGTCAGGTCCAGCAGGGCCCAGGCCCGCCCATCCCAGCGAGAGCTCCAGGGAGATCAGCCCGGCCTGGGAGCGCGCGTCCGAGCGCGGCCGTGCCATCTGCGGAGCTTCCTTGCGGTGGTCGCGGGCTGCCGGGGGAGGTGTCCCGCAGGTGTCCTTCCGGCGCTCCTCCGGGGGCGGGATGCCGGCGGTGGCCGCGCTCTCCGGGGCCGAGCCGAGCGGGGCCCGCCCAGCGGGGCGCGTCACGGCGGCGGCGCGGCGGGGCGGGGGCGGCGCCGGCAGCAGTCGGCACGGGGCGGGCAGCGAGAGGCGCGCCGGCTGCGCGCACCCCGCACACGGCGCGCTGCCACCGAGGGAGGGAGGGAGCGAGCGAGCACCATGTGCCGGCCAGCGCTCGCCCGGCTGCTGCTCCTCCAGCTGCTGCTGCTCAAGCTGCACCTCGGCAAAGGTGGGTCCGGCGCCGCACGGCCGCTCTCCCTCAGCGCCGGGGTCCCCCGGCCTCAGCGCTGCTGGGGAGGGCGCGAGCATCCTGCCGGCAAGGGCACCGCGGGGTGTGCGGCCGCGGGTACCCCTCGCCCCGGTGCCCTGCGCGGGGTTTGGGACCTGCGAATGGTCGGGAACGCTCGGGGGTTGCGACCTGCGGGGGCCGGGCACGCTCTTCAGCGGGCGAATGCAGCCCGAGAGCTGGTGACAGGAGCTGCCACCTTTAATCCCTTTCAGAGGGGATTTGTGTCTCATCAGGGCAGCGCGGAACCGAGTCTGCAAAGCAGATTTGCTCCGTTCTCCCCCCGCCCTCAACTTTAGTTGGGTCAGGTCCCTTTTCCCGGGACGGCGCCGGTGCCTGTTCCGCCCCGCGTCCCCAGGTGTCGGTGCGTTTTGCCCCGGTAACGGATGCGCAGGAGGTCCCAGCATCGCTGCGATTTATAATTTTTCTTTGTCTGTTGTATTTCGGGTTTAACCATCTTCTATTCCCAGGCTCCTTTTCCCTCCGCCTTTAAAACAATGCGGGGAAGCACGGGAATGGTCCCTTTTATCCCTGCACAAAGCATCTTCGGGATCGCTGCCCTGCCCCCGCGGAGGCGCGTTTACCTCAGCCCCACACCGAGCCGCTGTACCCCGGCGAGCCCAGCCGCAGCCCCCACCCTCAGTCGCCGGCGGCTCCCGGCGCCTTGCCCGGGTTGTCCGCGACCGGGCCGGGCGGCGAGGCGGCCCCGGGATGCTCCCGCCGCCCGGCCGTGAGAACGCGCTCCTCTGACCCAGGCGCGGCCCCGTGTCTCACAGGCGCCGTCAAGGAGTGCGAGGAGAACCAGTTCCAGTGCCGGAACGAGCGGTGCATCCCCGCCATCTGGAAATGCGACGAGGACGATGACTGCTCGGATAACAGCGACGAGGCGGATTGCCGTGAGTATCCGTGCCCTGCGCGGCGGGGCGGGGGACCGGGAAGGGCGCGCTTCCCAGCTGCGCTGCGCCTCTTTTTTTATGAATGAATGAAGTCGCGCCGTCCCCGGCCGCGGCGCCGATTGGCTGCCGGGAGCAGCAGATCCGTGACGCGGCGCCGCGGGGCAGCGGCTCCTCGCTGCCGGCTCGCCCGGCCCGGCCCGGCCCGGCCGGGACACCCCGAGCGCCCCGCGGCAGCCGCCACCTGGCAGCTCCCTGCCCTCCCTCTGCCACTCCCCTCGCCTCCAGCAACGTCTCTGCTCTGAGCGCCTGAAAGGAACAGCGCAGTTTGTGCCCTCGGGCCAATTGGGAGAGATGTTAAATCCCGGGAAAGCCCGTGCTTAGGGCCAGTGACAGGTGCTCATTTGAAATGCTGCTTATTCATAATCATCCCACAAGATGTGGGGTGGGTGTGAGTCTTGTGTTTAAGAATGTTTGCAGTCAGGGTGACGAGGCAGATGAACAAGTAGCACTGCTTGGCTTCGCAGTGTCAGCCATGTAACACTAACTCTTTCATAGTGTAAGGGAAGAGAGAGCAAGATCTATATCCCAATTCTGAGGAAATGGTACTCGTTCCTTCTCCTGCGGTCTGGCCCTAGTGTGTATCAGTGAAAGCCCATAAACGCTGGGTACTTTGTAGGGTTGAGCTGTTATAACTTGGCTGTTATTTTGCTTACAGCTTCTGATTGCCTGGCAGAATTTGTCTCAGCCATGGAGTGTAAGAAGCATCTGTAAAAGAAGTTACAGAGTCTAAATCTTGAAAAGAAGTATCTTTTTAATTTGAAGATTGAAGTTGCAAATAATGTAGCAAGTACCACATCTCTTGAATGATCTCTGTAGCGTAGTAGGTGTTGAATGTGCATTCCGTGCATGAACTCTTCAAGCTCATAGACCCAGTGAATATATCACGAAAAGAAAGGTCACTGGTTATGTGTTTTTCCATTAATGATTTTCCTGTTAACATCTTCTCGCATAAGTCTGTGTCAGGTGATATTCAGAGTGAAGTCTAAGTAGATTAGTTTAAGGAGAGCAGGGATTCCCAAACTCTTAAATTATAACAAGACGTTCCCTGTGAACACCCCATAACATTTCTTTCTGGTTGCTGTTTTTATTCTGAGGACTTGATTGGCTTTATGTATGGGTTTGTTTTTTTTTTTATGATCTGGGGAGTTAGAAGCATTAATTGAGATACAGAAATGGCTTTTACAGGAATTATAATGGTACTATTTAGAGGCAACTTAGAGGAATGTTTCACATTGCAAAAGACTCAGGGAAGCTGGGGGTGACTGAGAACTGCCGTGGACTCTTGTGTAGCCATAACTGGGAATGTTTTCTCAGAAGTGTCTGTTTCCCAAGAGACACACTCTGTGGAGTTTCCATTAATTAGTTTCCACTAATCTGTGGAAGCACTGGGAATCTCTGAGCAGGTATACAATGCTGTTCTTGAAGCCTTCTATTGAAAACCTCTGAGCGCTGTGGTACAAAGGCTTGGTGAGCTGCAGGTGACCTGTGGGCAGTGCTTTTGGAGCTGCTTTTCAGAGGTTGGGATCATGGCAGGAGGAGCATCTTGAATGGATTCTGGACCCTGCATCCCACATGAAAGATCAGGTTTGTGTCCTGAGCTCTTGCCCTGCCATGAGTGAGTGGTTCAGTATCTGGGCTGCTTTTTTATTTTCTCCTTTTCCTTATGATCAACCCTCTAAGCATTGTGTCAGGAGAGAGAGTGTAGGACAACATGCTGTTGAGCATCAGCTCAATGTGGATTGTGCTTTGTTAGAATGCTCATTGCATCTGATTTAGGTTTATTTCAGAGGGGTTTTATAGTTCTTGCGTTTGGGGGTGGTAAAAATATGTTCTTCACTTTAATCTGAATTTTGCATTTATTATTGATTGGGAATCAGACTACAGAAATTGCTCATGGACTGTTAATTTATGTCATATATAGAGAGACTTTGCAGTTGCGTCTTCAAACAGGCTGAAAGACAAAACTTGCATTTGTCATGCACGTTTTTCTCACTTAAATTGTTCTGAACACTGTTTTATTCTGAAAGTGCATACTGCTTTTCAGCATATGGAATGTTTGGAGTTCTGCTCCCTGGGTGAAAAAATACATTCCATGTTTTCTCTTCTAGATACCGCCTCTGTTATCGCTTCTGCAATAAACAGATATTTATTTTAAAACTATTTTATGAACATATGGAATAGAAAAAACTGTTCTGGAAAACTTAGTATGCCAGAGTGGTGATGGAGAGGGAAATGAATATGCAGGTAGCCTGCTGGCAGTGAGTACTGATAAGGACCCTGATAACCTTTGTAATTACTTGATGATTCTTCTTCCCAGAGCTGATAATGTATTTGTAATAGCTTATTGCTGCTTGTGTATATGCTCCCTTTTTGAAGAGATGGGATAGTCTTTATCTGTGTGAAGAATTGGTTTATCAAATCAGTTCCTTGTGGTAGATGGTCTAATACGCTGGAAAATTTTGTAACCAGGAGTATCTTAAATAGTTGGAAAGAGTTGATTTTTTTTTTTTTTGACAGGATTCTGTGGGCTTCCTACTAGAAATTGTCTTTGTGCAAGAGTGAATTTTTGTTTGTTTGCTTTTATTTGTGTCCCTTTTGTGTTGTGTCCCGTGTCTGTTCCCGTTTCCCCCCATCCTTCCTGCCCCAAGATTTGCTGCCATGTTTTGGATTCTAAGGTGAATGTTTCAGTAATGGAACTGTATCACATCTTGGCATTTGCTTTCCTCTGAAACCCTTTTCTGTTGTGGCTGGTAGTTCAACTTACCTATTAAAGGTCTGATGTGTGAGCAAATATAGCAAACATTGGACCTGAACTCAGTTCTAGTTTTTAAGGTCTGTTAATTTTATCTAGGACAGGGTTTCTGGGCTAGCAGAAGAATGGTAGCCAAGGAAGCTGCCAGGAAGGGAGGAGATGTTGCTCGTTTGTGTATAGGCACATGACTTGTAAAATGTTAAGAGAGAAGGAGGAGACACTAATTTGTGTGCATTTTAGAAATATATAAAAATAAAGCAGTAAACAGATTGCCTAAGTATGAAGATGCCTTTTTGCTGTCATCTTTTCAGAAAGTTATGACATTTTGAGGAAATGAAAATAAAAAGGGAGTAGGGAATGTTCCTTAAAATGTATCTGTGGAAAGGAAACTAAACTCCATAGAGAAAAACAGTGAAAGTTACACTGTTTGGATTACTGGGGAAATCAAGTTGTAAATTCTGGAATTAGAAATCTTGGGTACCTATTGCAAAATTTAAACCTGTCCTAAAACTATTTGTTCTGCTCTATGCAAAAGGATTTGATTGGGCTCAGTCCAGTCTGTGTAGACTTGGAAAGACAAAATCCCAGTCACAACTTCCAGCTTGCAGTGCCGTGATCTGCGCTAAATGTGGTCCATGCAACAAGGCCAGGGCTCCAGGGCTGTTTTGCATGTGATTTCTGTAGAGGCATTTTAGTCCTTCCCTGTGATACGTTTTCCTCTCTGGAAATGCAGGAAAGACTCTTATAACTCACTTCAGACAATGCTTGCAGATGCACTGTCATTGAGACATTTTTTGTAATGGTACAGCAGCAACTTTATAAAGCATCAAAGCTACTTTTATAGTAGGAAAAATGTCCATTTTTTGAGGCACAGTGTTTTAGCAAAAGCATTCTTTGCTGAGGTACTAAAAATGTGGGATACTGACTTTTTTTTCTGTCTCCCTCAGGAAAGGTGAAGGCTGCAAAGCCAGGTCAGACTAGGGATCCATGTGCTGTGTGTCCAGGGTGCTGCTGCTGTGTGACACATCACCCAGAATGGAAAATCCTAGAGTGCTGTTCCAAAGGGGGAGTGGCTCTTGGAGGCTTTTTCCACAGCTTTACAAGTTCATTCCTGCTTACCATTGTAGCCAGCAGAAAACAAGGGAGACCTTGCAAACAGCAGCCAGACACAATATATTTGGCGCAAAATGAGAGCTCTTACTTTGATAGTTGTGTTTGATTTTATTTTTATGATGTAAGTATGGTTCACATTATCTTAACCCAGATGTGAGTATGGGCAAAACACACTTGAGGACCTCTGCTTAAATGTTTCACTGTTGAATAAACACTAAATGTGGCAAAGAGTATAATTGCAAAAAGCAATCAGTAGCTTAACCAGTTTTGTAAAATTGAACACAAGATGCAGGATCGTTTCAGCTTTGTAATACCTGCCTGCAGGGGGACACATCCAAATGCAGAATTACTATTTCTTCTTTAAAGCTCCATTTTCCACCTTTGCACTGGTACCCTTTCTGTGATGTTGCTTGCTGGTGAGGACTGCTCATTGGGATATTTTATAGACAGGGTTGAGACAGGTTGAGGCTGCTTCAGGTATGAGATGCAGTCTGAAGGGAGTTCAAAACCTGTTCCCATGTGTCCAGGGTAAACATGTGGCATCAGCAAACATCCCCTACCTCAGCCCTTGCCTGCCTTGTGGCCACAGAAGGTGGCTGTGTACATTTCCTGTGCAATTGGGAGGAGGAAGGACTCCTGTTCTTCCACTGGCTTTGTACAGAGAGTGCGCAGTTTGACTTCTGCTGCCTGTGTGGAAGCCCAGGAGGCAGCCTCATTGTCTCTATGCATTTCAGTTGAAATTTCACTAGAGCTGGAATTCGGGAGTAAAAACATATCAAAAAGCCTATTTGAGAACTAAATTCTGGGTCCTGTGCAGAGTTAAGTATGGTCTGGGTGGCTTTGAAGCACAGGAGTGTAACTGTGTGCCAGGCTTGTAGGTTTTGGGATGTGACCAAGTGACACACTCACAATGCCACATGTATTCTATAACTTTTTGTCTTTTGTCATGCATTGCTCCAATTTTTCTTTCTGTTTTGTATTGAGCCAGTGTCCTGTATGCTGAGTGATTGCTGCCTGCCACTCTGGAGATGCCTGCACACGTCGCCACATGGAATTTTAGGGTTCCTTGACATAC